TTAAAGTGTGAGTTATACGTTATCTTAATCGCTTTTGTTTTACACATGACAGTACTAACGCTGCCGAGTGGACATTTAACATATGTTTGGGGGGAGGGGCATAGTCCATGTGCTTGTTCCGCGTCTGAAACAGGAAACACGTACATGAACTCACTCAGTCTGTCTAAAGTAGTTAAACCGTCACAATGTGCATTTAAAAAAGCTAGTTTCACTACATAATTCACTTTTTCTGTTCTCTCCTGCAGCTCCTGTACCCACACCACAAACCCATACACTGATCTACACCATCATAAAACCAACGGCACTTTTAAGAGCCAAACTCAACCTATCTCTCTGTCTATCTACCTAGCTTTCTTATAGTTATTGTCTCTATCTTTTTCTATCATTCATTATCTATTTCTTCATCTATCTATCTCAATCTTACAATCTGTCTCACTATCTCTGTCTGTCTCATACAGCAGCTGTTTGTTTGCATATCTGTTGTGTCTGTCTGGCTGGCTGGCTGGCTGGCTGTGTTGCAATGGCAACAAAACACAACCCAGACCCCAATAATCCCACATCCAAAGAAGGGAAACGCATGGCTCTTGAGCTGAAGCATGAACACATGCTAGCTGAAGCTAAGGTTGGTGTTTTAACCCATATGACCTCATTCATTTCCTACTTGAATGTGGCACTATCTCTTATCCAAAAAATGCTGAACAGGCCAAGAGTAACTGGATTTTGGATCAATGTATAGGGCCTTTGCAAAACAGTTCATCATTACAACATGGGGGGCAGAGGCTTACTAAATAAAGCTTGTTCAACTTGTTTTACTTCATTAGTTGGATATGGTAGGAAAAACTTGAAGCAAAAATGTTCTTCAAGTGAATGAATTTCCTTTTATTTGTCCACTGTCATATGGTATTAGTTTATCAGCAACATCAACCTTACATGAGTTGTTACTTGGTCACAGAAAGCAGCTGAGGAGAGGAAACGGGCACGCTCTGTAGGAGACACTTTACAGTCCCCTAAAAGGGGCTGTGTAGGACGTGGCAAGCCGAGAGGGAGGCGTGGAGGGCGACGCCAAGGCTCAGCTACAGGTTGAAATCCCAATTATTTTACATTTTTATGAATTTACTAAGTAAATGGTTGGAAAATCTAATTAAAACACAGTAATTGCTTGTTGAGGGTCTACAATAATTCCAATATATAAACGCATAGTGACACTCCAGTCGGAGACATTCCCACTGTGGTGTCATAAGAACTATGCTTTATTTAATTTCACAAGCTTTTAAACAATAGGTAGATAATACAAATCATCAGTTATCTGTTGTTAACCCTCTGTGTGATGTTTTACAGTCACATCCCCCCCGACTGAGGGCTTCCAGTCATCCAGTGTGGAGGTTCTGCGTACTGAACCTTCAGCACAACATGAATTTGGTAAATCACAAAAATGGCTTTAAGTTTAAAACTAAAATCAATTTTTAAATAAATTGTGTTAGTGAGAGAAAATAACCTTATACACAACTGACAGTTCAGGACTCGAACGAGGAATAATTCAGTAAAGATATTGGCCAGTTCCATACTGAGCAAAGAAATGATCCTTGATTTTTAGTGTTCATCTTAAATATAGTCATTTACAGTTAAAGTTTCCCATTCTGTTCACAGAAAAGAATATGGAGAGACTCTCTGACATTCTTTCCTCATGTCCTCCTCCTGAGCCTCAAAGAAGCTCTGCCTCATCCTGGTCTTTTCGGCAGCAGAAAGCCTCAGAGCGCTGGAAAGAAGCGAGACCACACCACCTACAATGCCTTCTAGAAAAAGAGGCTGTTGGTCATCCCCTGTGTGGCCTCTGTTATTAGGTGAGATAACATTTACCTTTATTTAAATTACTTTACCTAATTGTAATTTTTCAGTATTAATGCTCAGTGCTCTGCTATTTCAGCTAGCATGCATGACTTTTGGGATGTTAGAAAACTGGATACCTAGAGAAAACCCACATGAAAATGAAAGTAATTCTAGGATATTATAATCATTTTGTATTTCCTCCCAAGGTGTAGAGAGTGTCTCCCCGAGGAGTGGTTCTGTGGAGACTGTGATGTACTTCATCACAAGAAACAGCCACTCCACAACAGGGACAGTTTAATTAATGGGTTTTTTAAACCATTTAGTCCAACAACGTGTGTTGTTAGAGTGGAAGGTGGATATGACACCCATGACCAAGGTATGCTCTCTCAAACTTGCATTTTGATGTTCACATGTCTCTTCGGCCAGCAGATAATGGTAATTAGTGCTTTTTTTTTTTTTGACAGCTTGCATATTGCCAACTGTGAAGGCACCCAACTGCTCCTGTAAAGGCAACAACTTCACTGTGGTACCAGGCAAACCAGTGATTTTAATTACCATCAATGGTAAACAAATATATATATATATATTTGGATTTCTATTGAATTGTTGTTATATTTGTACTGTTGTGGGCTGAGGCATTGTGCTTCCAATTGGAGTAAAACCTTCATGTAATATCTGTTAATCTTTGACTATTTGTAGATGGAACTGTTGTAAAATGTGTCTTAATTATGTTTATTTACTTGTTCCAAGGGCGTTATGACTTGCATCTGCCACTATATGTCTGTCAAACTTGCCAGCAGCAGTGGACCCCCGACTTGAAAGTCCTCCTTAAGAGTGGATACTGGCCAGCTTCGGTCAGTATTTCCACACTTTACACCTTGGACCTCATGAGCTCCTTTGAAGAGCTCAAGGTCATCTCTCCGGGATTCTCCAGACAGGCCTTTGCAAAGCTGCTGGAGCATCGCACAAAGTGTGGAGGAAGAGTAAGTATAAATATTCGTTACCATATTATACATTATAACATTTCCGTAAATAGACAAAATCACAGCAATTATGTAATTATCTTCCAGTCTGGACCTGTCAACGGAGATGCACTGCAGCGCAGCTTTCTGGAGTTCTCCTATGCCTCGTATGAGGAAGACCAGCTCTGCTGTGGTGCTCCTTTCATCTGCCCTGCCTGCACGCCGGAGATGTTGGCTGTTTCTGCCGATGGAAACAGGAAGCTCTATCGCTTTCGGCGAAGTGGAAGGTGCTGTTTTTACAATGTTGTTATTTAACTTTTTTGATTACTGTTTATATTTCATGGATATATTTGCTAATCTCTTTTTCCTTAGTTCTGATGGCAGCGCCTTTTTTAATGGGCTCTTTGTAGCAGAAGACAGCGCAGTGGCTGCATTTGTCGACAAAATACAGAGATCACTGAAAAATGCAAGTTTTTATTCGTCATTTTACCTTATAGGTATATCACAAAAATAGCCATGTATATCCGACCTAGACTTTCTTCAAATTCAGCTACTTCTCCTTACCATCTACTCCAAAATCAGATAATTAGAACAAATGGTGTAGATTGTGATTCCATTGCTTTTAACTGATTTGTCATGATGTAATGCATGTCTTAGACCCAGGGAAGAGGCACATGTGGGGACTCCCAGTGGACAGCAGCGAGGGAGACGTCAAGGAGGGCTTCTAAGCTGGATGAAGAAGGGATGGAGGTGGCTGTATGTCGCCATGGGTTTCTTTTGAAGGCCTTAAATATGTACAGGGGGGAGATATTCGCCTACCCCCTGTATCTTCAAAAGGAACTCATGCCAGCCAAAGCCAAGTTCTTCGCCATGGATGTGGCTTGCAAGTACTGGCCGTACATGGAGAAAGCTGCAAGTGTCCTTCCTGCTCTCCAGGAGCTGACCACCATGAAGCCATTCCTCAGTGTAATGCATGCTCGAGCCCATGCTACCAAATGCGAGGTATGTGAAATATTTTTGTATCACCTACATTTATATTTTTTATATTTATAATACTGAAGTAGTAAATATCTAAGATATACTGTTTAGTATAGTAGTATGTAGCCTCTTTGCACAACAATTCCAGCAACCTTTTACCATCAGATTATATGGAGTGGGAAGAACCAGGAGGGAGCAGGGATGACCGCCGGGGAAGAGGTGGAGCAGGTCAACAGCTACCTGTCCCGTTGTGCCCTGACAACCAAATACATGTCCAAAGCAGGTGAGTGGAAGGTTTTGCCCTATTATTGCATACTTTTTTAGATGACACATCATAACCTCATTATTGCTTTCAAAAGCACGACTGGACATGCTCACAGTGCATGCTATGGGATGGAACAGGAAAAAAGGTGACTCCCTTCATCAGGCACTTTCCACAAGATATGTGAAGGTGAGCCTCCTATTAAAGGTGTTGTGTCCTTTGTCATTTGCACATGGCTTGTTGTTAATCATAGCAAGTTTTAATCTTGATAAATGTCCATCGTCTACTGTTTATCAGACTAGTAAGAGGCTCCTGGAAGAGACTGCAAGTCTTGAGGAACTCAAAACGGAGCTACATTGTGTCTCAGATGACATGGTGTCGACGTGAAGGAATGGGCATCTGGTAAGCACGACGAGATAACACCAGCTACATATCATTGTCCATGACTGTTTGAATTTACAGATTTGATCCTAAAGAGCAGCCAATGATATAAGGCTGATTTTTCATGCCACGTAATGGGACCCTCACTGGATTTCAGTAGACGGGACATAATCTTCAAGCAATAGCAAGCCAACTATGTGTCCATGTTTATCTCTGATATGTTCCAGTTTCCATAGTTGTACCATCAATTTGTGTTAAAAGGTGTTACACAACTTTGTTTCTCAAAACCGTTACGTGTTGTGTAACAGTACATTTTACTGCCACTATTATTTCTACAGGAACATCAGAAACATCGGGTACTTCTGAAGACATCCTTCAAACAGCACTGCAGCAAAGCATTGAGGGGCTTTACCTAAGTGTGAGGCAGCGGAAGCAATCCCTATACAGACAGAATGGTATAACAATATAATGTTTTAGGTTGCAGATTCAACCTACTGAATTACATGTTTGGAGTTTTAAACATATTGTTATGCTATAATGAAAATGTGACCCATGTATACATAACTGTGATTGGATTTTAGCTAACTTTACAGCCAAGAAAAAGATACTGGATCAAGTGATGCTTACACGGAGACTGCAAGAGGAGAAAGGCATCCTATTGTTGGAGATGGCGCAGCATTGCACATGGTTGCAGAACATGGCAGTTGCTCTAAAAAATAAGGTGGCTGAGGAAGGTAAGTTGAAAGCAAAACTTAACCTACCTTGTAAAGTATGAGTTTTAAAGGAAAAAAGTCAGCCCAAATCATTCTTGGTCACAGAAATTGGATGGAGTATAATGGCCTTTGCCCATTCGACCCGGCCATTTTACATAATGAAGTCCCTTGACAGTGACAATCATCTTTATGTACATGGGAGAGAATATACTCCATTGAAGTGCTCTGGCCTCGTGAAGCAATCTTACTTTATAGTATGTCCATATAACAATATTTTGTGTATTTTCAGATGTAGACAAGGGGAATGTAGGACTTGGGTGCACCCTAAGAAGGAAGCATGCTGAGGCGTCGGAGAGGTTGCAGGTGGTACTGCAGCAGTACAAGACTGCTTTAGGTCCTGATGCTTCTTTCCTTCAACATGAAGAGGAAAGTCAAAGTGGCCTAAGCAGTCCAGACAGCAGTGAGGATGAAGAAGGAAACATCATTTAGGTAATTTACTTAGGAATTAATGTACAGTATCTTTGTTGATTTAGCCTCAACCTAGACATGTTGCTGTTACTTTTGTATTCATTAATGCTAAACATACATTGTGTATTCAAAAACCTCAAATGTGGGTTCTGATCTGCCCCTCTTTTTTGTTTCTCTGTATTTCCCCAGATTGCTCTCAAGCACGAATATCCGCCAAGACTTGATGTGCTATCAGAAATGTAAATACTTTACTGACTTTATATTTAGAGATTGTATTCATACTCCTCAATGGAAGATCACCCTTGAATATGTTGACCATATGACTTTTCCCTATGCCGCAGCATCAGGCCAAACATTTCACTTGTACACAACTTAAATGTTATTGAACAAAATGCTCAGCGTCCCTGGAATGCATCCTGAGCAATGAACCATTCACTTTTGATCCTTTTTGAAACACTAGAATGTAAATTCCTAAATGTCCAAGTATATCTTGCTGGTTACCAAACAACTTGGTGAGCACATCATTGTCCAAGAGCAGGAGGTCTTTCCCTTTTTTCCCAGAACGGGATGCCTATGCATTATTATTTTCGATCTCTTATAGGATTGACCTGTCATTAACTTGATATGACTGCACCTGTTACACTGCAGGCCAATGACAGCTTTGCTCTAATTGTTCATTTTTGTTTCTTTTGCGTTACTTGCTTTTATTGCTTTGTCAGTTATATTTCCTTTTTGATCTCCAGCTATTAACCTGATTGATTGAAGTACTTCAATCAACATGTACAATGCACAGTCTTTTAGGATGTATAATTAGGGACATTGAGATAAACAACACATAGTTTATTTGGTGAATCACCTCATTGTTGTTCTCAAAACCAAATAATACATTGTTATAAATTGTTATATTTGATTTACACATAGAATGTACATGTTTAATATACATAGTTAAATCCTAAAGAAATGGTTGTGTTGTATGATTTCTTAATACTGTATGTTATAACCTTTTGCATAACTTGATTTTATGTTCTGTTGTCCATGCTTTTCATGTTAGACTAACCCCAACGCTCGAGAGTCAACATACACCCTTATGGTGGCCTTTTACTTGTATTGTGGTGAAACACATATATATATAGTCTATGGGTGAAACACAGAAGTAAATCATTGCCAGAGAGGACCATTGTATTGTTTTAAAAACAATGTTATTGATGTGGTTGATTGATGAATAAATATAAATGAAGCATACTTCTGTGGTACTTTTTGTTGTTTACATCACACTGCATTATAATGCGTTTGGAAATAAATTCATTTAGAAGTAACAACATGAGTTAGCACTTGAATATTTTTGTAAAGAGATGATCCTCATCTGGAACACTGGTTGTTAGTTTAAGATAAGATAGAACTTTATTGATCCCAATGTGGGAAATCTTTGCGTTGCAGCAGCATCAAAACACATGGCATTATACAATAAAAAGACAAGAAATAAAGAAGAAAATATACATGTTGAATTTACAAATGAGCAATAACAAGATATAAAGCAAGGTATTATATTTACATAAGTATGTGACAGATGGAATATTAAATATTACACTGAATATGTCAAATGTACTGTGAAGAGAGAAGCTATGGAGCAGAGAGTTCTCTTCCAGCCAGAGGTGATTTGTTGTACAGAGTTATTGCAGTGGGCAGGAATGTTTTCCTGTATCGGTTCCTGTGACAGCGGAGCTGCAGCAGTCTGTAGGAGAAGGAGCTGCAGCAGTCTGTTGGAGAAGGAGCTGCAGCAGTCTGTTGGAGAAGGAGCTGCAGCAGTCTGTAGGAGAAGGAGCTGCAGCAGTCTGTTGGAGAAGGAGCTGCAGCAGTCTGTTGGAGAAGGAGCTGCAGCAGTCTGTTGGAGAAGGAGCTGCAGCAGTCTGTTGGAGAAGGAGCTGCAGCAGTCTGTTGGAGAAGGAGCTGCAGCAGTCTGTTGGAGAAGGAGCTGCAGCAGTCTGTAGGAGAAGGAGCTGCAGCAGTCTGTTGGAGAAGGAGCTGCAGCAGTCTGTTGGAGAAGGAGCTCCTGTCTGTCCAGGTGGAGAGGGGTGGGGTTATCTGTCTGTCCAGCTGCAGGTGGAGAGGATGGGTGGGGTTACCCATGATGGAACCAGAATAAGGTTTGTTGGCTTACACGCCTTTCATCGTAGTGGAAAATATTGTCATATGGAATATTTTTGGATAGTTTCACCATTGAAATGCGTTTGATAACACTAGGTGCTCTAGTGCCAAAGTTGTGGCCCTAAAAAAATATCAACTATTCATTTGTATGGCACCCAGAGCTTCCACATTTTAGGGAATATGTTTTTTGATTTAAAATATCATCACTGTCATAAGCAATGGTTTCATTAAAACCCTCCTATTGTCTTCGTGTCCCCCCCCCTTACTTTGGTGTTCGCGGTCAAATTTGACCGGTCCTGTTTTAACTGCTATTACATTAACACAAAAACCATTAATCATCACCAAATGTCATTTAACACCCTTTCAAACTGTAAATATTGTATCAGACTACTGGTATACATGAACAACTGCAGTAAATATACAAAGAATAGACACTGAACATGTATTGGGTGTGCCGGGGGGATGGGCACATAAGAGCGGGAAATGTTTCAAATTGGTGTGTGTGTGTGTGTGTGTGTGTGTGTGTGTGTGTGTGTGTGTGTGTGTGTGTGTGTGTGTGTGTGTGTGTGTGTGTGTGTGTGTGTGTGTGTGTGTGTGTGTGTGTGTGTGTGTGTGTGTGTGTGTGTGTGTGTGTGTGTGTGTGTGTGTGTGTGTGTGTGTGTGTGTGTGTGTGTGTGTGTGTGTTTTATCTGATCCGGATAGTTACTAATTCCTTGTCTTTATGGCGGGAACACCATGGGTGTTACAAAGTTGACTAAATAATCCAAAGTTCAATGAAAGTGGTGATCAGCAATTTAATATGTTCAAATGTCTACTGTGGAGGATATCATAAAGCCTTAATGCAATCGAATGTAAAACAAAAAAGTTATGATTGATGAAAGTAGTAAATCGGTCAAATTTGAACCAAACACAACAGGAGGGTTAAAAGCATAGCTATGCTACACACTGTAGGCTACTGTGCTTAGAATGGACTGATATTTCATATTAAAAAAAGAAACTATTTTTCTTTTACTTTCTTTTTTACAAGTGTGCATGCGCTACAGTCGTGCTGCCATAAAAGACCCCCTGATCACCTCGCAGCTGTCCAGCATGAAATGAGGTCATATGAGGTCATATATGAGGCGGCTGTTGTTGGGGAATTACTTTAACTTGAATTTGATTTGTATTTCTTTGCTGGATTATTGACCTCTTCTCTCCCTGAGAGGAACAGGCAGCAGCCCCAGGGCTGTCACACGGTTCTGTACAATATGTAAACTCTCCCTCCGTCTCTTTCGGGCTTATAACAGCGATGCCCAAGAAACCATGGAAATAAGCCTCCATTCTTTGAGATAATAACAGCATAGTGGATATATCAGGGTCAGAATACCTGAGGCGAGATCTATGGCTTCTCCTTGCCTGACCAGACCTCTCTCTAGGTCGTCCTCAGACGAGCCCTCCATCGTCGCTTCCAGTCATCCCAGTTCTCCATACATCTGGCCAGTTCATTGGTACTTTGTGCTCCTGCGTCATTCTTGAGTACGTCCACGTATGTTAGTGTGTGACGTCCTCGTGACCGATGCCTGTGTGTTGGTTCCCACAGCACCAATTTGCTGGCTGGCAGCTCTTGATGCCTTTGGCAATGTCCTGCTAGTCTCATTCTCCTGGCTGCAATTTTCTCGCTCACCCTTGGTATTCCCTCATACAGGAACATGTTGGTTACATGTACACTCTTGCTGATGTTAAGTACAATCTATGACTTCTTCTTGCCTGACCAGACCTCTCTCTAGGTCGTCCTCAGACGAGCCCTCCATCGTCGCTTCCAGTCATCCCGGTTCTCCATACATCTGGCCAGTTCATTGGTACTTTGTGCTCCTGCGTCATTCTTGAGTACGTCCAGGTGACCTCAGACCTAGTGAGAACCAGATTCCACTATGAGAGAACCAGATTCCACTATGAGAGAACCAGATTCCACTATGAGAGAACCAGATTCCACTATGAGAGACATCACTTGCCTCCTCATGTTGATAGATGTACATGCAGTGGTGTAACTATCGACGGTGCAGCCGGTGCTACGCACCGGGGCCCAGGGCCGGCCAGGGGCCCAATGGCATTGGCGGGTTCACGCAGTCTTCAAAGTAACCAAGCAACCTAAATTAATTAGGTCCAAAACAATATTTGCACCGGTGCCAATCATAACCTTGTTATGCCACTGTGTACATGTATCTTTGTTGAGTAGGTTAAATCAGCCGGGCAGGGAGAGAATCTTCAGAGTTGATGGTGGCGGAGAGCTGGGCACAAAGCTCTAAACTCAAACAAACAGTGTTTGTGCTTCTGTCATTTGTCAAATCTCCAGCACAGACTTTTTATCTCATTATTTCTACTTTTCTATCTCAAAAGATTATGACTTTTTTATCTCATAATTATGACTTTTCATTGGGAAAGTCTTTTTTATTGGGGAAACAGGCTTCTATAAATAATAATGTGCAATTACATATACATTTTATTTTACTTATAGAATAAGAAAAATAAACATAAGAATAGTCTACTGAAGATAAAAGCATGGACAAGTTTTTCCAGATCCTGCTGTGACATTAGTCTTTTAATCCTAGATATGTTCTTTAGGTGATAGTAGGCTGATTTAGTAATTGTTTTAATGTGACTGTTGAAACTCAGGTCAGAGTCCATGGCTACACCTACATTTCTGGCTTTATATGTTTTTTTTAACATTGTATGTTGAGTTGGCACCTCAGCTCAAAACATACAAAAACACAGAAGAATAGAAAGTTAACCCATTGAAATGATATGAGAGCAGCGCTACAAACTACAATTCCCATTAGATACGCGCCCAAACATCGTTACGAAGTACAGAGCTGACATATTTGTAGTTCTTCCGGCGTGTGTGCGTGGACTCGTTCGACTTGTCTTGCGTTGACGGCCGTATAGGCTCCATTCCCTTTCAGAAAGCCGTCAATCGGGCGCGATCCGAAACCAAACCCTGTGTTTAAAAAAATATACAATACAAATGTGCACTTTTGCCTCCTTTGCAACGGCAGTATCGTTTGTCTAGTACTTCCGGGTGGCGATCTGAGTTCGGGTACCGTATCTGTGACGTGACAAAGGGTCGCCATGACAACGTGGGGATGAGATGTGGATAACTTTCCAGATAAAGACCATCCTGATATTCGAGTTGTGGTTTTCAATAAGTGAAAAAGAAAATTCAAAGTAATCACTACTATTTTAATATCTCAAGCATTTAAATATGTCCCCAAAAGCTTTCAAATGTAGTAGCAAAACCACAGTGATCCAGATCAGGATCATTTTAATTAGGCCTATAATTAAATGATATGCAAGCCTACCTCCAAAGCGTTATACTTCGGAAGTTAAACAAATTAGATAAGGCAGTGGATGGCAACGTACCAGATTTCACACATGAATATGCTTAATATAGGTTATGGTGTTCCTATCACTGACAATGAAATCATGTAGTATTTCAACTGTAATTTCCTAAAAAGTCAAATGCATTTTGGTGGAGGTTTTCATCTTATTTCTAATAGAAACATATTAAATATGACTCAAATGGAGCATATAAACAAGAGAATAAACGTGCAAAAACAAAACTGGAGTTCAAATAACAGTTTTTATTTGTATGCATTATCCCGGAGAATTCTTCGGCTGCCAGGAATGAGCCCACTCCTTGCCACTGAAAACAGAATGGAATAATGTTAGTTACAGGTACTGGTTTCGTCTTTCCGAAAAGCATAAAACATGTGTGAAGCAAACATCTTATAACTCAATTTATATAAGTAAATGTTTCATTTTCCATTTATTAACGACCACCACCATTTAGAAAAAGTGAACATAGAAATGAAAACACATTTTCAAACAAACAATAAAAACAAACCAAAATGCATACATTAACAACAATGAAGTTAAACAATCATTTGTTCCTACACTACTTCAGCTGCTTCAGAATAACAGCAGTGAAATATATAAGAGGACTGGTGGTAGATCTGGATGTTTTGCATTTGTTAAATATCATGTGTTTGTTCTCCAACATGGGACTACATCAGATGACATGAAGCCAAGTAACTGGAAGATATATACCATACTGGACAGGGCTCCCACTCCACCAACATCTCTGCTTTTCCCTATCAAGAGAAGAAAACAAATCTCTAATTTCGGAAAGACCAAACGCATATTAGCTATTTAGCAAACAATTGTGGTGGAAATCACATAAATCATAAAGCACACCCTATGCATTACTTTTATTCCTGTCTAACCTTTCTCATTCTTTCTCTTATTACACTCCTGATGGGGAAAGTTTCTAGGCGAGTGTGGTAGGAGCAATCTGTGAACATCAAAGCAGGTTCCACATACAGTATTAGTCATATTAGAAATAAAATAAATACAACTATGAACACTTAAGTAGCAACCAGACTTGCACGATGAATAGTGATCACACTGTTATCACTGGTCAAAAGTTACTGTATACATCATTGAAATGGAACCAAGCTGCTCTCAGTCCTAAAATGGGATGCTTGTTTGAATGGCCATACCACTGCTGAGCCTGAGATGACCAAAGAAAATACTGCACTGCTGCTTCCTTTACTGCCTAGCATTCTCATCACCACCTTATCAACTATGACTGTATGTATTTTAGTCTAATTAGACAATTAAAGCCCTTTGGATTTTTGGATAATGATTTTTGGATAATGTATCAGTTATAGTTATTAGTCACAATATAGCGTTGTTAACTCACTGAAGAAGCATCAATCACTGCGTTTACATGCACTTTGCTAAAGTACATGTCGATAGATTTATTAGAATACCAATCAATTCGACTCATGCACTTGTTTATAATCAGTCAAAATACTTAATACTGTTAACATACCTGACTTTTTCTTTTTGCGTCTAGGACCAAGTACTGTGTCCCTCACGGACCCTGTCCTGACAGCTGTGGGTTGAAGAAGAAATATTACTATATACATACAGTATACCAAGTTAAGCTTAAACTCAAGTTTCAAAATACATCCCACAAATGCAGCATCACATGATGCAATAGGTGTTAGGTACAGATATCTTTTTGTTATTGCGATTTAATTGAGGTTGATCTATGAAGTCTAGGTGTTTTGTTGTCTTGCCTATATAATTGACTCCATACTTTATGTGTAAGGAATAGTTTGATAAATATTAACATGTTGTGCTGTAACGTTAAATGAATTTAACTTTGATTCAAAAACCTAAGTTTATTCCCCGTATATTCATTATGGGACCGTGTCATATCTAAATGCAGTTCTTGAGTATAAAGTTTAAATATGCTGCATGACGTTGTTGCATGAGTTGCTTTGAAGTGTACCCCTAGGGTCAGGGATTGCTTTAGGTAGACCACAATATTAATGATATCAACCTCTCGTACAATATATGGACAAGTGCCAAATCATTTTGATGTAATCGACCTACTGCCCAACGCTACAATGTAAGACCCTTTCTGTGTGTAAACAAAATGACATGAGTTTTATTTTGTGATTTATCAAATGTATAGCAAGCCTGCTGTTGCTTTGCATTTTTGTGTGAAAAAGGTATAACCATATAGTAACCACATGTCTGTTCAGGAATGAAAGACTGTATTTTTCTAAATGTTTCATATTTATTTATATCCAAGTACCTAAGGATATACACATACCCAAGTATCCCATTTTCCTTTCATATTTATGAAGTTGTAGGTGAAATTGTTATTTAGATTAAGCTATTGTTGTTATTATTATTTACCTATTGGAACAATCATTATTCCCAAAAATGCAAGAAGTGCAATTAGGTGTTTTGAGATATTGTAGAAGCATGACTTGTCAACAAGTTACCTACAATAATCTTTTAGGAAGATATCGGAAAACACTCTTGACTTTTATAAATATAAAAGCTGCAAATCTCAGAGAACAAATGTCACTGTGTGTGCTGTGTGCTCTGCATGTGTGACCATTAAAGAGGGTTTCATCCCTCCGATTCCATCGATCTATTTTATTACCTGGCCCCTCCGTGGTGGTAGCCTGTCTCAGATCATCCCGCTGGGGCTGCTCCTCCTGCCCCACCTCTATGATGGTGCACTGCTTCACGGGGGGGGTCTTCAGCACCTCCACCTGCACGGTGCTTGTCTCTGGCACCTGGCTCTCTGACGTCCCTGCCTCCTGCCCTACCTCTTTGGTGGTACACTGCTTCACGGGGGGGGTCTTCAGCACCTCCACCTGCACAGTGCTTGTCTCTGACGTCCCTGCCTCCTGCCAGTTGTTTTCTGGTTCAGATGGGTCACAGGGTGTGAGGTTCAGCGTGACTGTCTCTTCCTCAGGATCTTCCGCAACCCCCTGGCCAGTGGAGTCCTGTGTCCAACCTGTGCAAGTTAAACAAATGTTGGTCTTGACTTGCTTAAGACAAAGAGGTTAACTCATATATCTAGAAATAAGAAATACAGCGTGCTTAAGGTATGTTTCCAGACAGGGTCAAAAATATACTCGTCATGTCATAGGACTGTGTTCAGTCAAAGTTAATAGCAGTAACGGAACGTCTACACAGCAGCGTTAAAAAAATCTTGGAGGTGGGCGTATCTGAAGCTTGGGGATTTTTTGCAAACAACCAATCACATGAATCTCCCGCCCGCGACATACGAAGCAAAAAAGCCCGAAGTAAACTGGATATAAACTCCCCAAAACAGGCGAAAACCTACCACTGTCTCTGCCACCTCCCTCCATGCCTGGCTCCTCCGGTTTATATCCCGGTAGGTCTGGTCATAAAGCACCGGGTGATTGATTCGCTACCGCTAATTTCTCCTCCATGTTTTGGAATATGAGGAAATGACCTGCGGTATGTCTCTCCCAGCATACACGCCGTTTGATTGGCTAGAGCTTGAACTGTCAGATTTGCGTACACGGGATTTGATTGGCTGACGCTTCCACCTCAGCCTCAAAAGTTGAACATTGTTCAACTTTGAATCCTCAAAATCCTGAAAATCTCCGCTCGCCTGCCCACAATGCATTTCGGCGAAAAGTGAGGGAAAGTGACGTCACCCCATTCAAAGTGAATGGGCAGAAGCGTTTCAAGATTTTTTTAACGCTGCTGTGTAGACGTTCCGTAATAGTGGTATTTATCCAGTCAACCATTTATGGTTTTGTTTTTGCGATATTATTCTTCCGATTTGTGTCTACATTCCATGTGATGTGACATGTCAATTTGTCGGTAGACAACATATAGACGTGTGCATGTATGTTCCCTTACATTATTTACATCCACACATTTTGTTCAGAATTTATAAGACTGACGCAAACGTGTTTTGCATAAGTGCAATCAAATAAGTAGCAAGTCGCTTTGGATAAAACGTCTGCTAAATGTAATATAAAGGGACCTCTGGATGCACTGGATAACTGCTTTTGTTTACAACCCGAGAAACATGACCTTAATACAGAACTGCCAAACTGAATATGTGGTCAACTGGGATCGTCTTCATGTATTGTGCTCTTACCATTAACCTCAAAACATTTCTCCCTTTTGGGCGTTGATAAAGCAAACAGTTTAGGAACGGTTTGCTAAAAGGAAATTGCTTAAGGGATGGCTCAAGCCTAAAACTACATTTCAGTCATCAAACCCAACTACCTTGACATTAACTGTTAAGGAATAATTCTTCTAGATATCTAACCTTTTACTCTGACATATGTTATCTCCTCTAAGGAAAGGCCTTGGTGCCATATGTGTTGTTGTCACCAGTGTGAGACCGGTCAACTTGACTGGCACGTAGGGTAATTGTTGTGAGAACACTGAAGCATTTCTTTATCGGTGTTTGTGGGCTCTCGGATGTGAAATCCTTGAGGCCATGAGCGTTGGACGCAGATGATTCAGTGTTTAGTCTACTCCTTCAGAGATGTTGATTCTCTGTGAACCTGTTAAAAGGTCTAGCATAGAGAGAGGTTCTTCAGAATTGACGTGGCAACTCTACCGTGTGGTCAGAACCTCTGACTCTTTGATTTGTGATGTGAATCCTCCGGCCGAATACTCTGAATAAACCCATCAGTGTTTGACATCAAAGCTCCAACTCTCACCGTGTCTCCTTCCTGAGTCGGTGACTCCATGCATTACTACACAGAAGTTTCCTCCACAAATTGGCGTTGTCGGCAGGATACCAACAGATCTTCAGAGACTGGTAAGTGTGATTTCAAATCTACATTTGGACATTGCCTTACCAGAATCTGTGATTGACGGTATCCTAAAATTATCTGTGAAGCTAAGCGGCTGCGTTTCGTTTTGGTTAATGAACATTTGGGGCTAGTAACCCCAGGGGATCATCCAGGGACTCTGTCTTGGCTGGTTCCCTCTGTGTGTGATGCTCGGACGTATGTGCCGTGCAGGCATACACGGAGATGTTTAAAAAAAAACTTAATGAGGGCAGCAGTAAAGTGGAACTTCTGTGTGAAATCAAAATAGAGATTTGTAATGAACAAATCGCAGAGATTCCGGGGGTTTCAGCGGCCAACACTAGCAGTTAACTAAAGCAGCCATAGATATTACCCCCAGCGCCTCTAAAAAAAAACACGGCTCCAGCTGCTGCGGCTCCGGGGAATGTGTGTCAAATACCTCCCCGTATCTGCATGAGCTGGTGAAGTGAACTCAGAGGGAGAAAATCACAGCTTTTGTCTATAACTTTAACTCACACCACCGCCGTCTCTATTAAAAACGAGACGGTTTAAAAGCACTCTCGTGGCTTGTGGCCGTTTACGATGTGCTGGCAGGTGCGAGGTGCGTGCATTACCTGATGCGACAGGCTCCCTACATTGCTGAGGAGCTGATGTCGGTCCGGGGTGCATACATAAAATTATAGGCTAATTGATCATGGGTGGGCAGTGGTATGCAAGTGTAGAGCAAAACTGTGTTTCATCGTTGGGATGAACATGATGGGAGGTGTGTAGGCTGGTCGAGTAGGACTACAGTTAACTGTGTGGTTTCAGATAGAAAGGGTAGAGGAAAAAAGTCTATGTGCTCCGGATCGGGGGGGCATAGCACCACTAGAGCAGGGATAGTGGAGTCGCAAGAGGATAAGCTAGTTATTGCTCTTGGACGGTCTTCAGGCACCGATCTAAGGACTTGTATACAAGGGTGGAGGTACGAGTCAAGGTACCCCACTGGATTCCCATTGGGAGAGATCAAATAGTCCCTACCCCCTCTGAAACCTCTTTAATCCGGACTAAATTGAGCTGGATGAATTTTTGCTGTCACGCTGGTGTTTATTATGAGTTCATCATGTTTGTTTGTCTGATTGTTTGTATCAGGGGTCTATATTGGTTTGTCTAACCGCCGTCTTGTGCATGTTTTGTAACAACTAATAATGAATCAGTCCATAGCCAGGGTAAAATAAACTAAGCTTTAGTTAACTCACCAAAAGTAAATGACTTGAGAAAGATAAATAATATATAGTGTTTTGCAAAATTCTGGTAGTATAGATGTGCTGCAAAATGAAAATAAATAGCAAAAGAGTGTTTTATGTCCTGCATCTGAGTGTGCAGAGGAAATGTAAACAAGGAGCACACTGTTCAGGGTGTGCGCTGTAGGTGTAAGAAGAAGAGAAGATAATATTACTTTAAGAATACATTCTTAAATTGTATTGCTGGTATGTTAAGATATGTTTGTGACCTTTTATAAACCCTATGCCCCGTCCTGCACCCTGAGACCCTCAGAGGCATCACTGCTGGTCGTAAACAACCTGCTTGAGGAGGTCAGGGTGGCAAAATCTGTCTGCTGTTTTAGGTCAATATTGTATTATTTGTTTCATTTATTCTTAAATCTATGTATTGTTTGGTAATAATGAAAAAAACGTAATGTATTGAACACATTCCGAAACAAAGCTGATAAGACAGAACTTGACTCAGACATAATACAAATTATTGTTGAAACCTTTTGCGCTGTTGCTGCAAAATGGAAACTTTGTTGATTATCTGTTCCAACTGGCCACTGGATTCAGATAATTAATATAAGTTGAAGTTTAATTACAGTTTTAAATATAGTTTAACATTCTTTATTAAACTGCTTCAAATGATTTCTCGTATCAACCAATTGGTCTCCATAGACATTACTAAAATTCTAATAGTTGTTAAACTACTGACAAGTTTTCTGAAACCGAGTTTATGAACAAAAGAGTAAAGGTCGCTGGTTAAGCCAGGATCAATATATTTGTTGACGTTTTCATTACAGTGTGCATAATAAATGTGTTAAATGAATTGAGCAATTCTTTAAAAAGTATAATGTTGCAATCTCTTTACAATAAGTAATTACAGTTAACAAAGAAGTAGAGGTTGTTTTCCAAGGGCCTCTCCTTCACAGCCCTACACTTTAAATCATGAGACTTTCAAATCATAACAGACAGAGATCGGTATCACTTTGTGTTGCAAGCCAAATCCATGTAAAGGTTCTACTTGAGCCCAATTTAAATACCATAAAGAAAGTATTGAACCCAGCTCAAGCTAAATGTCAAATGTATTTAATTAATGTGCAAGTGTTTTGATTTATTTCAAATGTTCTAATCTCAGCTTCTTTCGAGTTCAGTCGAAGCAACAAATTGTTTCTCATAACATTCTCACTGCTGTCCCAAATGTTTTAACCTTGGGCAGACAAGCTGTTCACACACCCACACACACCCACCCACACACTTTGGATAAGTAGTCACCTTATCCACATTGTAAATTGTTGCTTTCTTTAAAGTTATTAGTAATTTAAGATTAATTATTAAATTAAATGTGGTACATAAGATAAAATAAATAAAATAACTTGACTTGATCATTTTGTTCACAACATTAGACCTGTCCTCTAATCTCTACTAGAATAAGATAAGTGTGCATGTTTGGATGTTTTAACACTCCTGTAATGTACCTACAGTAATCTTGATATCCTTTTCATTACAGAGCTGGGAAAATGGTGTATTGATTAGATTCTGATCCGTGCAAGTCCAATTTTAACTGACTTTAGTTCTAATGTTAATGTTAATTTGACTTCAACCCATAAGTAATTAAGTAAATTAACTCTAAATTTCACATGATGATGGATTAGTGTTCCACATTTCTTCCACTAATTTGTTTTACAATCAGGCCAAAGGTAAAGAGAGACATTGATGACCTTGTGTCCCTTTTGTTAGTACGTGGTTCCATTTTGTCTATGGCCTTGGACGGCTTCACTAAAAGTCACCCAGTTCTGCCCTGCTGCAGTCCGGCTGAGTGCAGTCACAGAGATGCTATGGCTGCTCTACATGACATTAAAGGTCTGGTCTGAATGGACACCATTTCCTGCTCCCAGAGAGAATGACACTCCTCAAACTGAACATTACAGCCGTTGATACTGTCTCACATGGGTCTGCTCCCCCCCACTGAGCCATGAACTGAAAGCATGACATCTGCTATGAACACTTGGAAGCCTCCCTGTCACACCAGCACCAACCCTTGGGTCAGTCAGATGAGACTAACGGCTTCACTTAGGGCATTTGGTTCAGATACATGACTCTCGTTACCGCAAAGTGGGTTGTTTTTAAGGCTATTCATACTGCTATGCAGAGGATGCCTGTAAGTTGGCGAGCTGGTAAAAGCCCCTACTATTGTTCAAATAGGCCTAATGTCAGGGGTCTCTTAAATGTCTAGTTCTACATGTATTCACATTATATAGACAATGTTTCCACCTAGTAAAACTGCTGCACAAAACTCAGGCTACAATACAACCATTATGTTCTGCTCTAACGATTCAATGTATAGATTCTACATCAAAACAATTAGCGTTTATTGTTTCCAATGATAACGTCACCTTAAGTTGAGGAATGCAAACCTGTTTTCAAATGTAAGGTTTTGATTTTGTTTGACATTTCTCAGTAATGACACCCTCAGACACCCAGTATCATTCATGCTATGCCTTCAGTAATAACACAGATGTTAAAGGGATTAAACTTTTCCTCCCAAATCAGATATGCTTTGTTTTTCAACAAATGTATCAATTTCCTGCATAATATATGTTTATCACAATGGTTTTTTGTAAGCTGCACACAGGTGATACTGAGTCTTCTCGATTAATAGATTATAAACTATACCATGCTTAAATAGACTCCTAAGTTATTATTTCATATGTACCATATGTAAGAAAAGGGAGGGAAGAGTCAATTATATTGAGTAATTGATTTTATATTGGGTAATTTATTTCTCAAACCTATGTTTTATGGAAGAGACAAAATATTTCTGATAAACTAATATTTTATCAAAAGGTAAATGGTGAATTAATATACATTTAGAATCATTGAGAAGGGGTTATATCCACAGGGACAAGCTCACCTTTAACTTACAATAACATGTCTCTGCTATGGACTGATGAGTATATGATTCTTGCATGTTAAATGACTAACACAAACCTTCAAAATGATAATGTGCATGTGTCAGGAAGGCTCCCAAATCATTCTGAGGGGCCTATCCTGTTTTTGTAATTAAATGATAATGTGCTAATCCATTACTTTGAGTTGTCTTCACTCAGAAAAAACATCCCTATCAAGTGTTAACCCAATAACTAGGACACACTCTCCGGGTGCAGAGAGCACCCCCAGCCACGTGCAAGGAAGCACAAGGTCGTTCGAGATGAGAGGATGCTTCTCTTCACCTTTCTGCTGAGAGGGGGTTCTTCTCTTCATCTTTCTGCTCGGTGGGCTCTAGCAGACAACCCTGCAGGACGAGCGAGGGCTTCAGAGGCTTCTATAATACAAGGTTCCATGTTTCTTGGAGGAGTTTGATGTCTTCCTAACCTCTCCCATCACGGGGGGGACACCTGGATGCATTAGGAATACGCAGTTGTACTCAAGCAGATAGCAGAAGGAATACCGGCAGATGAGCCTCCGTCTCACTGGGGGGTCAGCTACAGAGCTCACTGAATGAGCCACACAAAAGCAGAGCAATTGGGGGGTTGAAATATGGCGCTCTGATGAAGAAGAGTTTGAGCCAATCAGCACCTCAGTGCTAATCTACAGTATCAGGATGCCTTTACACACCAGACACTCGGTGTCATAAAGGGAGGAGGAGAACGAGTCAGGAAGCCTGACGGACATGTTCTTCCAGCTCTCGTACAAAGATGAACTTTGAATTGAATGACCAGATGTTTAAAGATGTACAATTAATGATTGTTTTTTATATTTCCAATGACCAGACATGTGTTAAGTAGTGGTGATAAATATATTTAGTCAGATCAGATTAGATTTTCACACTAAACAAAATTAATAAATAAATATTCTCAGATTATAAGGTATTGAAGAATAAGGTATTTCTAATATTATAACAGATAATGTTAATATCCTTAATCATCCAGCAATCAGGCTTAACAACACTACTCTGTAATGTATTACCCATGCACAGACAGACATAAAATGGTGTTTCAAGTACTGGATTAATTTCAGTTTTGGCCCAAAACAAATATTTATAATAATTCATATAACAATTATGTAGCATATTTGATCCTCAAATTAGAGAAGTATAATTTAAAGAAATTGATATTCTATATTTCAACATTAGATAAACACAGAAGAATCCTTTCCAAGTACCATAAGTAGATGATCAGGTAAGTATGGCTAATAAGAATAAGTGATAGACTTAATTTGGTACAGATCAGTTGTAGCATTTACAAATGTATGAATTAAAGTTTTAAGAATGTTTAATCTTTCCTTTCCAGGTTTTTACAAAAGTCTTTGAATATTTGCCTAACTTTTCCTTTTCAGATTTTGAACAATGTACTTGACTAAAATGAATGTATTGATTTTACTAAGACTAAGTGCCTTACTCTTGACTAAAGCGTAATGAAGTAAACATAAAGTAATCCTAAAATTGAGGACACTGCAACTTTGTGGATTACAGATTGATCAAATCACCACTGTGAATGTTATGCCTTAGCTGGATCTCTTATGATCCTAAGTTTGAAATGCTTTTGACTAGTGATTGCTTTAAAGCAAATCTTTAAGCTGTTTCTGGTTTTGATTTTATAGTTTGATAAATGACATTAACTAATGGTTTAAATGATAAAAGATATTAGTTTAAAACAAATATTTTGCTATTATGTATCTGTGTTTTTATGTGTGTTCATTATTGTACTTGACAAAAGATGCTCCAAACACTGATGAGAGATAATTTTTCCTATTATGATTGCCTGTATCAATCATTGTGATTGAATGTTTCAATCTTACTCTACTTTGTGATGTAATTGAATGTAAGGTGAGACCACACTCGAATCTGAAGACGCCTATTGATTTAAGTATTGACCAGAATTATTAGACTAATGTTTTAAGGTTATCAAAAATGATAAAAAGAGAGGAACTGTTAAGGAATAATTCTTCTAGATATCTAACCTTTTACTCTGACATATGTTATCTCCTCTAAGGAAAGGCCTTGGTGCCATATGTGTTGTTGTCACCAGTGTGAGACCGGTCAACTTGACTGGCACGTAGGGTAATTGTTGTGAGAACACTGAAGCATTTCTTTATCGGTGTTTGTGGGCTCTCGGATGTGAAATCCTTGAGGCCATGAGCGTTGGACGCAGATGATTCAGTGTTTAGTCTACTCCTTCAGAGATGTTGATTCTCTGTGAACCTGTTAAAAGGTCTAGCATAGAGAGAGGTTCTTCAGAATTGACGTGGCAACTCTACCGTGTGGTCAGAACCTCTGACTCTTTGATTTGTGATGTGAATCCTCCGGCCGAATACTCTGAATAAACCCATCAGTGTTTGACATCAAAGCTCCAACTCTCACCGTGTCTCCTTCCTGAGTCGGTGACTCCATGCATTACTACACAGAAGTTTCCTCCACATTAACAACTTTCAATTTGTATACAATGAATGCGCAAGTGGTAGCACAATACCCCAAAATGGTTTTTCAAATTCAAGTAAACTTGCCTACCTATTTCCTGATAAATAACAGTTAAATGTCCACAAGTCCCCTCTGCAGAGTAAGCCATGTCTCATTAGGCTACATACTCAGTGTTTCAAAATGTATTTATTGTATGTAGTTTGCTAAAATAATAAACAGTCAAACGTTGTCCATATCCCTAAATATTTTGCAATTACTTTCAACTTTTGTAATACTTTGCAGCTAAAAATAGTGACAGTTAACAGGTAGAAAGGATGTGTGTTGGTTGTCTCACAAAAATATAGTTTGCCAAACCCAAATAAATGGCTCGAATGACTGCTTTCTGGCTGTATCAAAGGATAAATACTGGATCAAGTTGTTGTCCCACAAGATTTGGATGGATTGAAAACAGTCGCTGTAAGTTGTTGTTAACTTAACTGACTTTATTAAATGAGTTGATCCAAACTCATTCCATATAACTGTGTTGGTTATAAGGAAATGTTAAGCTCTCCAACGTTTATACTGTCAGGGAGGTAAGGACTCGTTGACTGAACATGTTTTAGGGGTGAACCATCCCTAGAAGAGTTTAACATTGATACAAACATTTTGTGTACACAATACTGTGAACTGTGAAGATATAGTGCAAGCATCTCACCTTCACAAAGGAACTCATAAAAAGTGCCTGTCTTGTCAAGGTAATCCTGGGCATAGGCGGTCAGTGTGCAGCGAGGGGTTAGGATTTCACATTTGACCTCCTTCTTCCTGGTCTCCTTGCCAAGAAGCAGCACTGGTTTAAAGCCAATGGCATGGAGTTTCTCAAGCTGTAATGACAAAATAATATATTTACTGTTTAAAGAAATGGAAAGGAAACAACTATATAACTACAACTATAACATTACTGATGACAGCATCTAGTTGTATGCCATTCATAAACCTAGATGCTGAGTTTAGCTTTTGCAGAATCATGTATTTACCAGGAAGGGTTACACAGTAGAAGCAGAAAAATATTTTATAGACAAACACAAAATACAAATCAATCAGTATCCTGAGTCCCAGTTCAAACCCTGATAATCTTAAAGTTAAAGTACAATAAGATGCAAATGTGTGACCACTCAACAATTAACACTTGTGTACACAATGAGTATTGCATAATTAAAAATGTAACACAATCCAAGCATAGCTTGACACTGTTGAAATTGAAATTGCGTGCTGCAATGTAAAACGTTCCCGTATGTTGTGGCTGCAGTCGTAAGAGTAATATAGAGTAGTAACATACAATGATGTAGTCTTATTAAAGGTGGGGTAGGTAAGTTTGAGAAACCGGCTCGAGATACACTTGTTGTTATATTCCATGGAATGCTCTTAACATCCCGATAGCAATGAATATCTGAAGTGCTTTGACAAAAAATCCATAAAAAAATGTCATCTGTGGAAGCAGTAGTACTGTAAAAAGTACGACCAATCATCTGAGCCGGCCCGGCTAAAATAACTGGATGGCCTACCTGCCTGTCAGCCTTCCATCTGTGCACAAACTTATCTCGTGCCCTCATTGGTCATGTGCGCGTTCGTGTGTGTTGGAGGAGGGGCTCTGTGAGGAAGTGGCAGATTTTCTCCGGTTGTGTATTTTCAAATTCTAGCGCACTCGAGCCGGTTTCTCAAACTTACCTACCCTACCTTTAATGTCTAAAAGTGTGTACATAAGCAAGAATGGAACACAACATGGAAGTGAAGGAAGTGCTCTGTTTATTTAAATGTGAAAGTTAAATTAAAATAGTGTCCCTTGACAAAAATTGAAAGAAAAGAGAATATTAAATAATACCTTTGCAATAATATCTATATTTGAAGTTGATATCAAAGTGTATATTGGTTAATAAGATACAAACATCATTAAGAAATAAATGTATATAAAAACAACATTCAACTTTATCCTGGCCCAATATATTGGCAAACAGTCGGGGGTCCGTCTGTGTCAGTTCTTTGGTGTCAGCTTGGTGTGTCTGGGCATTAACATACAGTAAAAAGTGTACATACCAAGACAATGGCTTCATCCTTGATGGAAGCAATGTTGTGGTTCTTCTTCCGCCCAGACACCCAATCCTCTCGCTTCTCATCAAACCGCTTGAGCTTCTTCTCAAGGCGCAGCTTTTTTGGCTGCTCCTTAAGGCAATGTGCACAGATCTTCTGTGCACAAAATAAAATGTTCTGACAGAAGGGACATGTCTTTTTTGTAGACCCACCTGGCATGATTAACACAGGATTACAAACAGACAGACTGACAAACACAGGAAAGTAGAGAAGTACACAGAATAGATAGAAGGGTGAATAAAGAAATAGATGATAGATATAAGAGAGCTAGATAGGGAGATAGGGAGAGTTTGGCTCTTAAAAGTGCCGTTGGTTTTATGATGGTGTAGATCAGTGTATGGGTTTGTGGTGTGGGTACAGGAGCTGCAGGAGAGAACAGAAAAAGTGAATTATGTAGTGAAACTAGCTTTTTTAAATGCACATTGTGACGGTTTAACTACTTTAGACAGACTGAGTGAGTTCATTTACGTGTTTCCTGTTTCAGACGCATAACAACAGGGTTCCTGCAGGTTTCGCCAACTCAAATTTAAGACTTTTTAAGACCTTTTTAAGACCACTTCGAATAGAATTTAAGACCTATTTCACGGCAAGAAAGTATGAAGGAAAATGGCTATGAAAGAAGAAATACGTCCCATAATTACTTACAAATCAAATGTATTCATGTTCAACATAAGAACAATGACTGAACATAACAGCATAACAGTACAGAACTATGTTAGCCAAAAAGTGTGTATGTGTCTCTGTATGTGCTTGTGTGTGTGTTAGGGCTGTGCAATTAATCGTATTTGAATCGCCTTAATCGTGGCCTGCCACAATTACAAAGACAACATAATCGAAAAAAACTATTATTTAGCTTTGCTAGGTTATGACAGTGCACTACAACATATTTGATCTAATTAATTTTAGTCTAATTTATTTTTATTTATCATATTTATATATGTTTAGTAGCTTGTGGAAGTGCGCTCCAAAATATTTGTTGATCTTGTTTATTGGTATTTATTATTTTGATATTATTTATTTAAATATATCATTTATTTAATTTATTTTTGTATTGGTTTTTCAGTTGAATTATACGTTCAGGGTAATCAACAGTTAAAAAGATACTGTTCAAATTATTATTTGTTTTAAAGTTCAATAAATGGATGTTTTCAAAGTCAATGAATAATCTTATTTAATAATCGTGATATCAATTATTGACCACAATAATCGTGATTATGATTTTTGCCATAATCGAGCAGCCCGTGTGTGTGTGTGTGTGTGTGTGTGTGTGTGTGTGTGTGTGTGTGTGTGTGTGTGTGTGTGAGAGAGAGAGAGAGAGAGAGAGAGAGAGTAACAAGAGCTATATTCAGAGCTCTGCTGCCTTGGCTACAATCTTTCATCGTTGCTGTTGTATGATTGGTGTTTAGCGTATACACACTACAGCACCTCCGCTTTTAGGGTTGACGTAGACCCAAACGTCGCCCGGAGGTCCAACGGTGTTGTTGCGGGAGCTGCTGCACTAGCTAACGCTGCACTAGCTAACGCTATATTAGCCAAACAAACGCCAATTTCTTTTGCAAAAGGTGCAGCGGGCTTCAAACACGTTCCCCTCCACTGGTTTCAACCAAGCACTAAATTCGATGTTTTCCAACCAAATACGGTTGAACTTACACTTCCCCAAATGTATTTGTAAGTAGATTCGAAGAGACATGAGTTTCTGACTGCCGCTAGCTGAAGCTTGGTTGCTAGGTTACTAGCTGGGTGTTCTCCGTTAAGGGGCCGGGGGAAACAAAGTTAGTGATTACTGGTTCCATGTTGATTTATTTCAATACAAATTGTTGGGGGGAACTGAAAGGCTATTACCGTTACTTTGCAGCCCGGACAAGTCCCCCAAAACACATTTTAGACGCGATCGCAACACAGAAGTACCTTTCAAATCCCATCATTTTTAAGACCTTCTAAATCATATTTAAGACCTTTCTTATTTTTTTTGTCATATTTAAGACCTTTTTAAGGCCTTAAATTCAGATTATCAAATTTAAGACTTTTTAAGACCCCGCGGGAACCCTGAACAAGCACATGGCCGTGCACATGGACTATGCCCCTCCCCCCCAAACATATGTTAAATGTCCGCTCGGCAGCGTTAGTACTGTCATGTGTCAAACAAAAGCGATTAAGATAACGTATAACTCACACTTTAACACCGACGTATGTAGCCGTAATTAAGACAAATATTTTCCACACACCACTTATGAGCTGATATAAATGTAGCTAAACTAGTTTAAGCTTATGTTGAACGTGAGCTAGCTAGCTAGCCGCCCGCAAGAATAATTTCACATTAATGTTGCTTTGCTGATTATGGCGAAAGCATTTCTCAGACTTAGAACAGTTCATTATGTATGATGAACTATGCGAGAAAAGGCTTAAAAAAAAGCCCCAATTATTAAATCATGCATCAGACTTTAGTGACACAACTTACTTTGTCAGAGGATGGATCGCAATGCCGGACCGGTGGTGGTGCTCTGAATTATGTCATTTCCTGTACCGATTATACAATAAAATATTAATACATTTCCTATATTTTGACACAATAACTATTTAATAACCTAAGTAGCCTACAGACAAAAACAAAAAAGTATATATTGCCTTATAAAATGCAGAAAAGTGTAAACATCAAGCATGATAATAATAAAATAAAAGACTAATGATATCTTAAACCTTAATAAATAAAATGGAAAATTAACCGACAACAACAATTTAACATAAATAAAACAAGGATTAAAACAAGGATAAGTTTGACTCAATGTTGTGTAAAGTACCCGTTATGGTTAAAAAATTAATAAAAGAAAAAAAGAAAAAACATTGAAAATAATACAGCTTCCGGTTTCCGAGGTCTCCCTTCTCCTGGCAAATATCCTAAACCTTAATAAATAAAATGGACAATTGATCGACAATAACAATTTAACATAAACAAAACAAGGATAAGTTTGACTCAATGTTATGTAAAGTACCCGTTATGGTTAAAAAAAATAAACATTAGAAAATAATACAGCTTCCGGCTTCCCGAGACACGAAGAGGAGACACGAACAATTCTTCCACTTAAAATGCATTACTTTGAAAATCGTGCTTTCTGACACGAAAGAAACGTGTGCATAAACACCATATCCCTACGTGCATTGCGGCTAAAACATCCAATCACCGCTGAGGATTATTGAAAAGTCCTAAATCTGTTTCTGGTATTGTTTCGGACTTTATTTTGAAATTCAGTTCCTGACAGACGTCAAAAAAGACAGAGATTATCGAATTAAACCAATAAATAAAAACAAGGATAATTGTGTGTTATTGTTGAGTAAATAACAGTGTGTTATTTTGAAAAGAATAACAAATTAGAAGGAAAAAAATATTTTAAAAATACAGATTTCAGTATCCTGAGGCTCTGAGCCCCATTCTTTTCCTCACAGACGGCAACAAAAGTCCGAAATGATACGATTTTAAATAAAAGCAATAATCGTGGCTTGATATTGAGTAAGAACATGTTTTTATGAACCACACAGCTTCCGGTCTTCCACGACCAGACCGAGAAAAAGACGTGTTGACTTTATTTTGAAATTCAGTTCCTGACGGACGTCAAAATAGCCCGAGATTATCGAATTAAACCAATAAATAAAAACAAGGATAATTGTGTGTTATTGTTGAGTAAATAACAGTGTGTTATTTTGAAAAGAATAACAAATTAGAAGGAAAAAAATATTTTAAAAATACAGATTTCAGTATCCTGAGGCTCTGAGCCCCATTTCTTTTCCTCACAGATGGCAACAAAAGTCCGAAATGATACGATTTTAAATAAAAGCAATAATCGTGGCTTGATATTGAGTAAGAACATGTTTTTATGAACCACACAGCTTCCGGTCTTCCACGACCAGACCGAGAAAAAGACGTGTTGCAGGCACGAAACACATTACCAATAGAAATACATTGCTTTTAAAATCGTTCTGTGTGACACGAAAATAAGGGGATAATCGTGGTGGTGCACACGAATCAATAGATTAAATAACGTGACTATAACACGAAATGCCGTGAGACTGGGTTGCTAGTAGTGCAGTTGCACTGTAGCTAGTGTGCAAATGACAATAAAGCCTTGAACTTGAAACTCATAGATACATTTCTAGGAAACATAAGTATCATGCAGTGACAGTCATGATGAATTTGTACATTAGCCGTTGGTGGAGCTGTTAGCTTCTGTGCTAACCAGAGTGCCGTCACCTTTATCAGCAGGTGGTCTTAAAGAGTAGTAGCATTTACTCACAGCACACACTGTACACACACTGTACACACACTGTACACACACTACACACACACACACACACACACACACACACACACACACACACACACACACACACACACACACACCACACACACACACACACACACACACACACACACACACACACACACACACACACACACACACACACACACACACACACACACACACACACACACTGCAGGGCTACATTACTGCTGAGTCAAACTCACTGCCCACCCAGTTTACATATAAGGTCAAAGCATACTTGCCAACCTTGAGACCTCAGAAATCGGGAGCATTTCAAAACCACCGCGGGGTGGGGGGGGGGAGCTGTATGAGATGAACATTAACATGCTTATTGTTGTTGTGAGGGCACTGCCTTGCGGCCTGTAGCACCATCCTTTATGGAGCATATGTGAAGGACAGGAGTGAGCAGAGGGTAGAGTTGTCGATTCTTGTTCTGTTTTCTGTGACTATTTTCCCCACCCTCTCAGACTTTCAGTTGCGCGCGCTACTAAAGAGACGCGCTACCATGGAAACCAAACAATGGTGTAGCTGTATTAAAGTCCGAGTGGAAACAGTCCTGAGTAAATCTGATTTAGTCAGAAATCTGGAGAAATGCGGGAGAAATGTATGACCCCGGGAGGAAACCGGGAGAGGGCAATGAAATCGGGAGTCTCCCGCGAAAATCGGGAGGGTTGGCAAGTATGGGTCAAAGTGAGGGACTTTCTAAGAATTGTTTTTCACTTTTTATTGGCAGTTTCAATTTACTGGGCTATGAACTGTGTATATGTACGTATAAAGGGGAGGAGAAATAACTAAGACTTCAAAGGAGGTAAAAGGGGGAAGGATAGAAGAGTAAGGGGGCGAGGAGTTGTTAGATATACATTCAGGAAATACTGCTGAGCAGAATCAGATACTGGAGACCAACCAACACCAGACGACTGATCTCAGGGAAGACTTTAGTGTCCAAATCCAACCAAATGAAGAGCTTTCTCCTCCTCATCCTCTCACTGATGACAGGTAAGATGATTGCTGCTACTGAATGAGCTAATGTTTGTTAAAGCTCTGCAGGGGCGTCGCCTGGACCTGA